GAGGCTCGCCTGCCACGTTCCCAGTGTGGCATATCTTGATGTGCACGATGAAATACGAAAATCTCGACGGTATATTTCGGCGCAAAATACGCAACATGTCATGAGCCCAAGCGACGTGGCAGGTCGTACTCGGCATTTGGTTTGGCCGAGACCCGCAGAGCATCACAGTCGCCGACTATGTACGCTCGATTGTCTCGCACGAGCACCTGGCGAGGCTGGTGCAGGCCTCACATTGGCGCTCCCACGGTGTTTGGTCGCGTCGGGCAGCAAGCCTGGCAGATGCTACGCCATCTCACGCATCGGACGCGCTGGAATCAACGATGTCGCAAGATGCACGCTCCCGACGACGCGCTGCCAGAACACGCCTGTGTCCGGTACGTCACTTTGGACTGTAGCTCACACCCGACGACTGTACCTCGAACGTGCATCCCGACGACGGACGGCATGACAAAGTACTGTCGGACGATGGACTCCAGCATGTTGAAGAACTGTTGGTCACCGACGTTCAGCACACATCTAGTACGTAGGTCTTAGTAGGTGGAGTCTTTAGTCTGTGTGAAGATTTCTAGAAAAAAAGAAAAAAAAGAAAAAAAAGAAAAAAACGCGTCATGCGACCTTGTCGTAGTGGTCGCCGGGCATAGGGAGCGCCAGTGTTCCTGTGTTTCTAGCGCTACTTGGGACCTTAACCCGTACCAGAGACGCACGTAGCGCCAAATTCCATACCAAAGAAAATGCATTGTGCACAGCCCAGCGCAAAGACGATCGACACAATACCGTGTAATGAGACCAGGTTCTAGCGTGCGATACCAACTCCCATGACCAACTCCCACGTGCTGTAACGATTCAATCCACTCCAAGGAAAAATAATTCAAGGGAAATGTCATGCTGAGAGGTCTACCAAAATGCAGTATCGCTGAATGGCCATCATCAGAGTCGTTTTGATCCGAATCGATGCTCGATATTTATTCAACGCTTTCTCTAGAAACAAGCGCAAGCGATCGAGGTGCTCGTCGCACGCAACACGGCCGAGGACATTTCGTTGCGGTGCGAGCCGGAATACTGCAACGAACAGCTCAAGCAACTGCAGCAGACTGCAGTTAACTGCCAAGATGGAAACGTGCGTGAAAGTTGCGTGTAGGAAGTGCTGCACGTCGACGCCCTCGCTCAAAAAGACGAGATAATTGCGACGCTGTCTGCTGAGAAGGCAAGGCGCGCCAGCAAGCGATCGTGGATATTATCAAGGCCATGCATTTATGACCTTACCATGCAGCGTGAAGTTGCTCAGAGCCACATCCGCACGCGACGTGCTCAGGTTGTCCAACACAAAATGATGCTGTCTAAAAATACGCCATCACATATACCGGTATCTCGCTGCTCAAGCGCGACAAGGAAGTGCTGGAAAATGAAAGCAACGTTGGCACTGCACGAGCCCATAGTTATCAAGTTGAAAGATCGAACTATCGACTGATCAATTCTATCAAAGGAACAATAAATCAATTGAGCGTTCCTGTCCCAGCGGGCGCGGAAGGTACTCGTTTTTAGAGGTAACGTGTGGGCATCGACTTGACACAAACCCTCATGCCCGGTACAGTATCAGCTACTGGTACCGGTATGCCACCACTGACGATTCGATAAAACTTGCTCCATACGGGGCATATCACCCAGTATAATTTATCTCCCTCGATTCATCCTTCCGGTTTCAGTACAAAACAT